TTTGAATTTGCTTTGATAGAGAATTTGAAGCCTCTCTTGTTTAGTCTCATCAATAATGGTTCAAGCGGGTTGCTCACCATGTTTTGTTTGGAGTTGTCAAGGACAACTTGTTTAACGCCTATGGAAATCGGAACTTGGCACTATGGTGGAGCTTGAGTTGTAGAAAATCGAAAAGCTAGCTCGATTGGCTCTGCATGTTCTTTGCATTGGCTCAATGCGATTTTGAGCAATAGAAGTTGTTGTGTTTTGAAAGAGCGCTTGTGTTTTGTACAGCATATGGCATTCAATTTTGACTGAATGGTTGGATACCTGGGTTATGGTATCAATTTTGATTCTGTGGCAACGAACGCACCTCTTAATGAAACAGAGTAGTTGTGTATCTCTCAGGCGAGCTCGAGCGCAGGAGGAGAGAGAGAGAGCCACGATGAGCACTCAAGGAGTATGGGTGCGGGTACTATGCTAGGTGTTGCATAGTTGGTGACTTGTACAAATCTGTTGAAGTTGTTTTTCCAGAGAGAGTTACTACCAACCATCAATCTGGTAGTACAAGTGAAAGATACGCAGGTAACTTATATCGCTGAACTGGAGAGCAGGGATTACAAAAGGCATGAACAACAAGTGTGTAGAAACACTGGGAAGTTGTTCAGGAGTGCAAAGGGCAAAAACTGATAGTTTAGGATAGTTTAGGGAAAACTCCGAGCAAAGAAACCAGGAACGTTGACCAGAAAAATGAAGAGTTTTCTGTTGCTCCAGTTTTGGCCGTTGTAGACATCCCATTTTGACCGGCCCTAAGACTTGGGTGCTTTCTTTTGTTTACCCGATGAAGACAAGTACAATGTGTTTCTCACAAAATCCTCAGTAAGAGAGATGAAATTTGAACTTTAATTCCAACCTTCACCATTATGGCCAAATTGTTTTAAAATACTAAATATTTCATTAGTTTAGTAATTTTGTAATTTTGCATAATTTTATTTGTTTGTTCATATTTTTGGTGTTTTTATATAAATTATTATAAATTATATAATTTATATATATATATAAAATAATAAAAAGTACTATTATTATATTATATGTTTAGTATTTTGGTATAAATTATATAATTTATATATGTTATATATTATATTATAAAAATCTTTTGATGTCAATCAGCCCTCGGCTGCTGACATCTAAATCAAACAACATAAGGTATATATATTATATTATATGTTGTTTTGTTGCTTATATAAAGCAATGGAGGCTCAGCAAAGGAGGGGGGCTAATCTGAAGAGAATTGAAGAGAGTTAGAAAGAGTTAGAGAGAAAAGAAAGAAAACATTTCAACTTGGGCCAACACATACCATAAACTCCATAATTCCGAATTAAGGATTTGAGAACACACTTCCTACACTTGAGGGTGATCAAGAGGGAGTTTGTGAACTAAAGAGTTCATCCTTTCCTTGAAAGGTGAATTTTACAAACCTTTCATTTTCTTGCATTTCTTACTTATTTAGCTCTTTTTCTTTGATTTATTGTTATATTGTATATTGTTGTAATCTAATTGAAAGTGATGAATTGATGTCCCATATATGTTATTTTTAGCACGAGAAAGAGACCTTTCATGCTAAATGGTTTAATCTCTTCGGAGGTTCATTACCAGGGCATTACATCTCTCTCATGCCAAGACCAACTCCTTGTTTGATGCTTCTTTCCATTTAGAGGACTTAAACTCACCATTGGACTTAATGAATTAAAGAACGGATGGTAATTTAAAATTGAGTAACTAAAATTGAGGCTAAAATGGTGCAAGATAATAATTTGGTTGTATTCAATCGGACGTTAATTGAACACAAGGAAACTTGAGGCAGTTTATACTCATTAGTGATGAAATGATTCAAGTTTCCAAGGTCACCACTTCCCTTGATCAATTCCATGAAAGGGAAGAGGTTAGAGTCATATTTTGTTACATTATTGAACTTGCACACTTTGATTCACAAGCCATCATGCAATGAAATTGCTTGAGTTAGTAGTTTGTGGCTTAAGTTTACTTCTCTTTTGATTCGTTCATGAAAATGAGGGTTGAGTTGTGCAGACAACCCTAGAAAATACTCTATGCATGCTCTATTTGTCTTTTGTTGCAACAAGGTGAACTGTGCAGCAGTGGCCGGCAGACCACCTTTGATGGCTGGCATCCCTCACCAGTGGCCGGTCAACCAATAATGCAAAATTCAGCAGTGTGTTCCTTTGGCAGAGTAGAGCCATTCTGGAAGTGGGCAATAATGTATGTGTTCTATTGTGCAACAGAGGCTCTCTAGAAGCAAAACAGTGGCTTTTCGGGTGGAAATCGAGCATGCGCATGAACATTCCTCGCTTCTCGAGGCGTAGTAATTAGTTGTTTAGCTTACTTACTTCTTTTAATTATACTTGTGTTGTAATTATTTAATTAGCTGAAGTAGTTAATTAGTTGTGAGTTAATTTATTTTATTTGGTTTGTAATAGTTAATTAATTAGCTTAGTTTAAATAGTTAGCTAGTTAGTTTATTCATTCGGACTCTCCTTCGTGAGAGCATAATGTTGTAATAATGTGTATGTCTTCGAATCCCACGTCTTTCTCCCTTTTATTTAACTGCTTATGCTGGTTAGTATAGGGACATCACGTTTAAATTAGCATTCTTCATGTTTGCATCCACTTGTATTGCATGCACCAAGGCTCGGTTCATTATTCTAACTGCATTGTTAGTTTAATACTTATTTGAATACGTGCTTAAATCATGCTATCAATTGATTCATATGCCATGTTAAGTAGCCGAGCTTATTTTAGATTGCATATCGCATGTGTTGCATTAGTCATATTGCATAATTAGGAATCATGTATTTTTTTCTAACTCTTTCATGTCTTTTTGGCGTGGAGTACGAGGTGAGCCTTTACTTGCTTTAGCATATTGCATGAGTGTGATTGTTGCCATGTCTAGCATGCTTACCATGAGGCTAAGTGCTTAATTGATATACCTGCTTGTATGCCTGTGGATGAAGGTTAATTGCTCGAATTGGAATAATTTGAGCCATGCACATTTAAGCCCACTTTTCAAGTGGCAAATTCGAACTCTTTTCAGAAAACAAACATGAATCAAGTGTTTCAATTTTTGCAAGTTAGTCTATACTTGTATATGCGCATCACATAGTAATACTAGATTAATAACCGGAACAAGAACATATACTACAAAGTAAGATTCATATCATGATTAGTAGAGGCCGATCTTTGATCGGGCGAGCGGAAGTGCTCAATTCATGACCTTCCCCTCTCGTACCTAAGTTCCCGAGCCAAGACAATCTTGGTGATGATGGACACATGACCTTTGGCCCGAGTCATGGGTTACCTAAATTTTCCCAAAATAAAAACATTTAGGTGGCGACACTGTATCTAGCAAAGCAGTCCATTTTTGGCAATTTGATTCAAAATCGATTTTTCAAAAGATTCGCCGAATTTGGACTCTTTGGTGTTTATCTATTTCACATTGCACTTGTGGAATCAGATCCAGAACCGTGGGAGTCTGATACTGTAGGACTTATTTCGGCTTCTGAAAGGGGGCGCGAAAAAGTCGAGCTCCAATCGTGCAAGAAGATACATGGCAAGATCGTGGCATTTTACAGAAGAGCTGTAGTGTCACAGAGCACTCAAAAGAGTGCAAGGCATCCCGGGCAAAGGGTGCTAGGCATCCAATTAGGAAGTGCCGGATATTTTGATCACATAGATTTAAGCATGGCAGGTGAAGACATCTGTGATAGGAAAGCGTGGAAGAGATGTGTGTGAGATAAAGCAGGGCTCTCTCCAAAAGAGAATCAGAGAGTGGTGTGAGTTTAGTTGAGGATGTTGGATTCCCTCCTCCTCTTGTATCTCAGTATTCCTCTGGTATTTATTTCTAGCTTCTACCAAATACACCTGAATAAATGGGGTGTCAGGTATTTTGTCAGGGGTTGTAGGTGTCTCAGTGTGGAAATGCAGACTATGCTAGTTTTAGGCGTGACAAGATGAGCAGCAGGTTTTGTTGTGGATCACCTCACATGGGTTGAGGGGGTGATTTGTTGGATATCACCCCATGTGAGGGGTGATCCTTTTCTCCGTGTGTGAATGGAAGCCATGTAAGTCAAGGAGAGCTTCCAAGTTATCAATGGAGGCTGATGAAGTCAAGGAAGATGGCCAACTACCTTACCTACTGACAAGCAGCAATGAATTGCCACCGAAAGGAGAAGAAGAGGGCTGGCAACCAGCTCACATGGAAGACTCCCTCTCCTATCATTATGTGTATAAATAGAGAGGGCGAGGGAGAGAGTGATGTCAGAAAACCTGAGAGTGAGCAAAATGTAGAGAGAGAGAGAGAGAGAGAGATAAAAACAGAGGAAGCCTCTGTGGCAGAGAGGGAGCTCCCTTGGTATGAGAAGGGGAGCAGAGTGTTGAGTTAAGAGAGAGAGTATCCTCCTCCATTGTATTATCTTTGTAATCTCTCCATTGTTATAGTGATATTGTTTTCTCTCCCGTGGACGTAAGCATTGGGCCAAACCACGTTAAATATTTGTGTGTCTTTTGTGTGTGTGATTACTGGTTGTTCATTTTCTGGGTGTCCATAATCCTAACATCCATAAGATCAAAATGGTTACATTTAGATTGAACTCAGAGTTGATTTGGTCATAATTCAAGGCATTTTGATGGTAATTACTAACTAACAAAAAATACAATTCCAAAGCAATTCTAGTTCGACAATCCATTCAAGCCAGGCAAGAACACACCCAAGAATGGCTATAATGACAATGCTAAACAACATATCAGGGGCACTCATTGGCATGTGTGTCAAAGAGCTCTTAAAATAGGATATCAAAAACAAATGTACGTCTTTATAGTAAGCATATGTAGGAAGGGTAATGTTAATTTCTTCTCGTGCATTTGTGGTTGCATGATTATAGGGATTATAAAGAACCCATACCCGGAGCAACATAGCCTATAGTTCCCCTTACTGTAGTTAAATTTCGCTAATGTTGTACCACCTCATTTGAAATAGTGGAGATAATTTTGGCTAACCCAAAGTCTCCAACATGAGCGATCATCTCATCATCCAAAAGAACATTCCACGGCTTTAGATCACCATGAATAATTGTCTAGTCACAATGATAGTAAAGATACTCAATTGCAGAAGCAACATCTATGGCAATGCTTAGCCTTTAAATCAACTTTAGATTTCTGGATTCTTCTTCTTGTCCATTATTTTCGATTCCATCATGATGCAACCATTTCATAAGCTTCCATTGGCCATAAACTCATATACCAAAGCCTTAAATTCATTACCTTGGAAATCGACACTAGAACAAGCACTCAAAATTCTCAAGAGATTTCTATTTCTTATGGTTCTTAGTGCTTTGCATTCTGACATAAAACTTTTAAAAGCTCCTCTAAGTCGGAGATTGAGTACTTTCACTGCCACTATTGTCTGAACCTGATCAAGAATTCCTTTGTAAACAGAACCATAGTTCCCAACACCAATTAGCTTGTCCTCTGAGAATCCATCAGTTGCTTTCAAAAGCTCTGCATAAGAAACCCGTAACAGATGGTGCTTGAGTGATGGCACCAAACAGGCTTTTTTTCTTGAAACACATTGCCAATGAAGGAATATGAATAAACAAACCAACAAAATGGAACATAACACAAGAACAACCATGACAGTGAGTATCACTTTCATCTTGTGAGAGAGCTTATTCTTGTTGGACTTTAAGAATGGGCAGAGAGGAAGACGCAAGTATGGAATGCCTTCGCATAGATCATTATTACCAACCACCGAAATAGCACTTTCATTTCAAAAAATTCCTTCCATTGGAACTCGCCCATGTAGCTTGTTAAAAGATAGATTCAACTTTTCTAAGTGGAGCTCACTTAGATAACTTGGGATCAACCTCGATAAATTGTGAAATAGTTTACGTCTAAGTAAAGTCGGTGCAAATTATGAAGTTTCCCAATGGTGGTAGGAATAGGACCACTAAGATGATTCATTACCGTATCAAAGATACCGAGATTGAGGAGCTTCCCAATACCTGCTGGTAGGCTTCCATATATTTCATTGTCCTCCATTCTAATTATGCCAACCTCGGAAGAGAGATTAGCTATGTGTGCGGGGGTGATTTCCGCACTATGAAGAAGGGTTGAACTTCGTGGATGAACAATGTGCTCTGGGAATTAAATATCTGCACAGAGTAACAAACAGTGAGGCTGCCCGACCGGGGTTTGGTCGAAAACCCCTCCGATGGTAAAGTCAGGGACTCAGGGAGAGAAAGAAGAGAGAAGAGAGAATACAAAGAGTGTATATGTGTTAAGTGTGTGGATTTCGGATCCCTTGAGAGTGAATAGTGTTCACCTTTTATAGGAGAAAGTTGTTTGTCATTCAAGTCCTTCTCTCTCCGCCATCTGTCCAATGTGTCTTATTCATGGTTGTCTCCCATTGGAGGAGGACGACCACTCCGCCTGACACTCGGGTGTAGGTCTGCTTTGTTTGTCTCATTAGCGAACATCTCTCATTGGAGGCGGACGACCACTCCGCCTGTCATTCAGATGCAGGTCTGTCATATATGCACCTTGTCCCTTTGCACCTCCATGTCTCCACATTCTATTCATACAGAGGGAGATGAGCAGAGTTGTTTGTCTCTTGTGGGTCCAAGAAAGATCTTCAGTGAATTGGCCTTCTTTGAGTTGGCCTACTCTAGAATGGTTGTCCAACCAGGAGGTCCAACATGTTGCTCAGCCCACTTCGGAGTAGTTGTCTGTCCATCCAGGAGGTTCAACATGTTACTCAACCTACTTCGGAGTGGTTGGCTGCCCGTCCAGGAGGTCCACCATGTTGCTCGGCCCACTTTGGAGTGACATTCATACATTGGGCCGATCTCCTATGATTGTCTTGCTTCGGAGCAAGTGTTGGCCATAGGGCCGAGGTCCAACCTAGCTTAACCTCGGAGTGAGCATCGCATTGGACCTAGCACCAAGACTTGATTAATTTTTACCCATTTCACTATGGACTCGGGCACCGGACCTCTGAGAAAATTGGCACTAACGCTCAACACTTTTAAACTCGTGCAATTCGTTAGTAATGAAATAAAACTGAGGTCATCCTCCAACAAATTATCACCAACGCCAAACCTTCGTAGACTTAAAAGTCTTCCACGATCTCTTGGCATTGGCCCCACAAAGTTTTTATGATCAAAGCCTATTTGTTGAAGTTTGGAAGCATTTGACAATGAAATAGGAAGCGGTCCTGTGAACTTATTTTCGGGAAGAAAAAGAACCTTGAGATTGGGTAGGGTTAAGCCTATATCAGGAGGAATGCTTCCTCGAAGTTGGTTATCAAAAATTTCAAACCAAGACAGAGTGGAGATGTAAATGCTTGAAGGAACCTCACCAGCTATATTGTTTTCAGAGATATAAAACAATATCAAGCCTTGAAGTTGGGCAATTTCCTTTGGAATCTCTCCACGCAAAGCACATTTTCCAAAGGAAAGTTCGGTAAGAGAGGAAGGATTGCCAAGGGAATGAGGGATGGTTCCTGAAATCTTGTTAGTACTTAAGCCGAAAAGTGTAAGCTTCCACAAAGATCCTAACTCGGCCAGGATGTTTCCGGTTAGGTTGTTGTCGATCAAGTCAAGCATTTCAAGATTTGAGCATTGGGAAAAGTTGGTGGGTACTTCACCATGAAATGAATTGTTGCTGAGTGAAATGTTTCGAAGTCGAAACAAGCGACCAATCTCTTGTGGGATTGGGCCATGGAAGCTATTGTTTCGAAGAATAAGGCTTTTGAGGAACGAGAGGTTTCCAATAAGAGGTGAGAGTGATCCCACCAGGCCTTGCGACCTTAGTCTCAACTTCACAACTCCATCGGGATGTCGATGACTACATAAGATGCCATTCCAATCGTAGTAGTGCACTGAATCATACCAGGATCTCAATGCCCCAAATGGGTCTTGATGAATGGCAGCCTTGAAAGCAATCAAGGCTGATCTATCTATCTTATTTTGCAAGCAAGTGACAGGGGTGTTGCCAAAGCAACACCACCACACAATGGAGGTGAAGAAAATAATAAGCCAATTTGCCATGATTTTCTGATGAAATGGTGTATATATATGATACTGAATTTATTGTTGTATGTTTGAAAGCAAAGAAAAATTGGTACTTCTTATTCTGTTAGAGAAAGAACCACTGAAACACCTCCCCTAACGTAACAAAGTTTGTTTGCCAGATTGGATGGATTATTAGTACGATAAGATTGAATGAGGGGATTATTAGTATCATTAAAATATAAAAATAAATTGTATTTGTTTGTATAGGAGTGTGGTAATATTAGTTGGTTGTCATTTAATCTATAAATTTATGTAAAAATCCTTAATATATAAAAATTAATTTTATTATTTTTGTAAAGTAGGGATATAATGATATTTTTACGTCCAATCTCAATCTCAAGGGATTGGATTGTGAAACACAACCCCTCACGGAATTGCTAATACCCCTTGGAGGAGATTCGTAGTCCCATGATATTATCACAAAGAGATAAACTTATTCATGGCTGTACTGTAAATAATTTTTTTACACTGTGTTTGATTATGAATTTAAGGAGGGATTTGAAAAAGGAAAAAAGATGAGGCAAATTTAGCTTATATTTGTTTCACCTTTTCCATTTCTTTTTTCAAATTACTATATAAATTTATAATCTAAACACAATTTTATAATTTTCCAATAGGTTTCACTGGAGTACAATTAATTTCGTGAATAAGTTTATCTCTATTGGAGAATATGAGGTCCACCAAATTGTTAGTCCAATTTCATCACTTTCAGACTAAAACAAACAAGGCCTAAGGGAGAGGAGAATAAGTCATTTCTACATTATATTACGATGAATATGCAGTGTATGGTAGAGTTTTCATTCATTGTTCAAGGACCAAAATTTTTATAACAAAATTCATTTTATATCTTAGTGGTTTAAGGTTGGAGCATTTTACACCTTATGGTTTAAAAATAGCCAAATAACTCTCTTGTAATTTTAGACTAAATTATAATAGTTACATTTTTTGTCTAAATTAACGGAGAGTGTATAACACTGGACAAATTTTAAGAGCGGGCCTCTTTATAAAAAATAAAAAATAAATGTAAAATTAAAATTAAAATAGAAAAAACATAAATACTCTTTATCAAACTAAGAGAAATATTTATTAAATGCTAAAGGATAACAACACCCAAAATTTTAAATAATAACATTTTTTTTATATATCAATATTGAAGAAATTTATGTTGTGTCATCTCTAAAAATGATACATTGTAAGAAAATTATGTTTTTTTGTAATGAAAATTACGAATATTTGTGATGTGTTATACCAATTTGTAGTTAAAATTATGGTTGAGCTTGTCATTTATTTTTTTGAATGCAAATATGATTAAATTATGAGCTACAATTATCATATCAACCTTTATTTTGTATCCTATCTTTCTCTTGTGATTCAATAGTTCTCCATATAGGGGATACTATGTCCAAATAAACTATTAATCTGGACTCTAATTTTCTTAATCAAACATCGAATTATACATTTTGTTAGATTATTAGTCCAATCCTAAGGTCATATCCGTCCAAACAAACATGACCTTAATTGATTCAAGATAAGAGGGGGTGATGGAACCCTACCATTTCAAAAAACTCCTTTAATATAGTAGTATTAGTTATTCATTATCTCCAAATTATATAAGCTCCTTCCACTAAGTTTTTTTTTTTTAAAAAAAAATTTAAGTGTTTTTTGAATATAGTTCCCATGCACACGTTAGTAAAAAGAGGGTCACAGGATTTTTTTCAGAAAATTACATTTCAATGAAATGTAGACAAAATAATTGTAAAAATATGGTATGGTGCAACTCTGAGTTGCACCAGGACACAGCATGATTTGCACCATCCATGATTTTGCAATTTTTTGGTCAACATGTCACTGAAATGCAATTTTTCCAATTTTTTTTGGACCGATAAAGCCATTGATTAGAAGGAATTACTGTAAAGTTTGAACCCATCCACACGTTACTGGAAAAAGCCCAAGCAATTTTTTATTTTTTTTTAAACTGACAAAAAGATTGATTAGAAAGAAAAAATTTAATCAACTATTATTGTAAAGTGAAGTGAAAGAAACTAAATGAAAAAAATATAATATTTTTTCTTATAAATATTTGGTAGGCTAAAAATGTTGTTAGATATAAATAACATTTTGCATGGAAAAATTTCAATTTTCAAGTGAATTTTTACCAAAAAAATTAAAAATTTAGTCACCATGTTAGTATGTATTGTACAAAAAAAAACAAAATAAAAAATTCTTATAATTTTTACCATTTTCATATTAAACAAACTCAATAAAAATTTACATTTTTTTTTCTATCTTTCTCTTGTGATTCAATAGTTCTCCATATAGGGGATACTATGTCCAAATAAACTATTAATCCGGACTCTAATTTTCTTAATCAAACATCGAATTATACATTTTGTTAGATTATTAGTCCAATCCTAAGGTCATATCCATCCAAACAAACACGACCTTAATTGATTCAAGATAAGAGGGGGTGATGGAACCCTACCATTTCAAAAAACTCCTTTAATATAGTAGCATTAGTTATTCATTATCTCCAAATTATATAAGCTCCTTCCACTAAGTTTTTTTTTTTTTTAAAAAAAAATTTAAGTGTTTTTTGAATATAGTTCCCATGCACACGTTAGTAAAAAGAGGGTCACAGGATTTTTTTCAGAAAATTACATTTCAATGAAATGTAGACAAAATAATTGTAAAAATATGGTATGGTGCAACTCTGAGTTGCACCAGGACACAGCATGATTTGCACCATCCGTGATTTTTCCAATTTTTTTTGGACCGATAAAGCCATTGATTTACTGTAAAGTTTGAACCCATCCACACGTTACTGGAAAAAGCCCAAGCAATTTTTTATTTTTTTTTAAACTGACAAAAAGATTGATTAGAAAGAAAAAATTTAATCAACTATTATTGTAAAGTGAAGTGAAAGAAACTAAATGAAAAAAATATAATATTTTTTCTTATAAATATTTGGTAGGCTAAAAATGTTGTTAGATATAAATAACATTTTGCATGGAAAAATTTCAATTTTCAAGTGAATTTTTACCAAAAAAATTAAAAATTTAGTCACCATGTTAGTATGTATTGTACAAAAAAAAACAAAATAAAAAATTCTTATAATTTTTACCATTTTCATATTAAACAAACTCAATAAAAATTTACATTTTTTTTTTCATCTTTTTCTCTCATTTTCTAACACTTTCATTATAATCAAACTTCGCCTAATTGAAATGAATCGAAACTTATTTCACAATAACCAAGACCAGGACCTAAATCCAGATCCAGACCCAAACCTAGACCCAGATCCACGACCTCCTCAAACTGAAGAAAAATATTTATTAAAAATAAAAAGAAAGTATTCGTTTTTTTTTCTTGGATAATAAATTTTACTGACATTCTCTTACAATTATAGAAATTTCCCTTATTATTTCTAAAATTACAAGGAATTATCTATTTGAATTGTCTGTTAACAAATGACATACTTTTACAATTTTTGGCCTTCTATAAATTTATAATTCCACAGCAATTAGATGCCCTATTCTTCTTCTTAATAATACTAACTTACTTGTCCCATAAAAATACAGAATTTTATTTTATAAAAAATCAAATTAAACCCAATAAGTATTGAACCTAATAATGTTGTTTTATAACTTAAAATTTTAAAAATGGTTACTATAATTAATTTGAAGAAACAAGCTAAATAATCCACACAAAAAAATTTTGGGTCTTTTTCTTAGTTTTACTACCTAGCAAAAGGCACAAAACCTTTTTGCTTTCTAACAAACTAATGTTGTTTTATAACTTAAAATTTAAAAAATGGTTACTATAATTAATTTGAAAACTAGACTAGCAAAAGGCACAAAACATGTTTGCTTTCCTACAAACTAATAAGCAAAATTCAATTGCCAAATCACCCGCGAGTATTAATAATTTATTCCTAGAGCCGAATAATTGAATTTGACTCTGTTTAAGGTATGGAATCAACCTGAAATACACAATCTAAGCCAAAATTACATGACTTCCTTTTTTTTTTTTCTTTTTTTTTAACCTTTCCAGTTTTTATCATGCATTTTATGAATATGGAAACTATATTCTCTTTTTAATACACTGCCACCAAAAAGAAATTGTATGTTGTTAAATCTCACATTCCCTCTGTCTCAAAATACTCACCATCATTAAATCATTGAAAATTTTGAGATGCAGTAACTTCAATACATGATCCAGTAAATGTGAACGTTTTGATAAAAAGAAAAAGAAAAATTTGAGAACAAAGGATCTTATGCCTGCCACGAGCAAAGATCCTATACATCTGAATCGCCCCGTCTTTCTATTCCAAACCACTCATAACAAGATAATATTATTGAAAATCTAAAAGTACAACAAACTCAAAACATATTTTAATGTCTTTTTGTCCCAAAACACATAACTAGTGAATCATTAAAAATCTTGAGGTATAATAAACTCAAAACTTGTTTTAAGAAATATATATATTTTGAAACAAAAGGAAAAAAAATTTAAAAACAGAACATCTCATGTTATGTATAGAGAATAAAATAGTAGGAGTACAAAATATAGAGAAAGAAATGACTCACTCAATGAAAAAATTATTTAGTAAGTTCGGAATAGCACGTGGCGGTGAGCCCACCAATTCATTGAGCGGAATCCATGGGCAACAAACTTTACTTCTTTTTGCAATATTGTCAGAATCCGTTTAAAACGCAGAGAGTACAGAGTATAGAGTAGTCGTGTGGTGTGGTGTGGTGTGGTGTGGTGTGGTGTGGAGAGGGAGGAACAATAATATTTTATTAAGAGTGCTGTTTTTTCATTGATTGTTTGTTATCAAGTTTGAAACCAAAGAAAAAGTTGGTAATTTTTACTCCCCAACGTATCACAAGTTGGTCATTTTTACTCCCCACCGTATCAAAGGGGGTTTGAAAAATGAAACCTCCATAGAATGATAAGCCATTTCAAGTTTGAACCCA